TTCCCTTTTGTCCTTAATATCTCCCCACTCGGAGAGTTTGAGTCCCTGAGATATTTCAGAGTTTTTGATGACGGCCACGGTATCTTCTTGATGCTGGATTGGGGGGTGTGTGCTTTATACCAGGAGTCCCGATATCTCCATGTTTTTCCTTGTACACCTCCCTACATGGCCTTGTTATTGCATCTCGTGTTTCTGAAGGTACCTGCTCAGATACCTGGGACAATGGGGCTTGCAGAGGGTGACGGCCTTGCAGAGCCCTCACTGTGAGGTAGAATGCTTGCAGCCTGGAAGACATGAATTTTCTGAGTAAATGAAAGAAACACAGCCCAAGCAAGAGGAATCAAATGATAACAGCCACAAATCCTTTAACAAGAGTTAGCCAGGTAAGCTTGGAAGTGTTGCTTTGGGATTGTCCACCAATCCCTTGATTGAACCGATGTAACTATCTGGCTTGGTCATAAATTCTCTGAATCTTCATTTCCACTTCTCCTGATTTGTTGACAGAAATGCAACTGGAAGTGTTTGTTAAAGCATAGACGACTCCTTGTTCAGCAACAAGCAGCCCAATCCTACTTAGCCAAGGAATTCAGTGATTTGATGCTGTCATTCTAAAGTGTTACATGCGGATATGGCAATCTCTCTGGGAAACTTAGACAAATTGATTAAGGTAGCCTTGTAGAATGCAATACCTTCCCTATAACTCCTCCTATCACAACTATAATTAATCCTACCAGCAATGCTACTAGTGATTTAAATATAAAAGGTGATGAACGTGATATTATGTGTTGAAATGAAGGAGTGTTTATTATGGGCAGAACTATTGAATTTTATATAGGTGGTAACGTGTAATTAAAGGGTGTGGATATATATCTATATCTATCTGTCTATCTGTCAAGAGTAGGTTGGAAGTTGTTCTTCTGAGTGGTATAACATAGCAGCACTGATCTGTCCATTTGCTGTACAGTGGTAACTCATGGTGGCTGTGATGCTAAACACTGTGACACTTGTGTGTCAAGTACAATGATGATAACTCATAGTGGACAGTGTTTGGTGGAGCTCCCTGATTAAAACAAACTTGGAAGCAGGAGTGGCATACACTTCTGAAATAGCTTGCTTCCAGAAACTCTATGAACCTGGGCAAAGAATGGAAGTTATACATGGGTCCTTCATTCATAGGGTCGCTATGAGTCATCTACGACTCGACAGCACCTAATGACAACAAAACATGTTTTGTCACATGTATGAGTAGGATTATCACTAGTGACATCTCAATCCGGTATTTCTTGTTTACTGGGAGCAGCAAATCCTAGGGTTCACTGTCCTCCGTGTAGCCATCCTGCAGAGCAACGCATACCCCATCCTATTTGTGCATTGGCAATGGCATTGAAAAACTGGGCACAGGAGTCTGACCACAGATCCATACACAGCTAGGAGGAGCACATAACCCTTAAGGGAACATTAACTTTCTCATTTTTGGTTTACTGCAACTAGACATGGGTTACCTAGATACCTCTGTAAAGTTGCTGATAACTTTTTATGGTAGAGAGCTTTGTAAACTACACATCCTGGACTAGAGGTGTTCTCTGGACAAGCTCCTTCTGCTACATCGCAGGACGGTAAGCCAAATAGACCAGAACATAGTACATCTTTTACATAAGAGCAGTCCCAAGCAGTATCTGTGCCGTGTTTTGTGTTAGCATGGATCTGAAGCACACATCCCTGTCCTTCGTGAGGCACCATGTTAAATGCCAGTTGCTGGAGACGATCTAGTCTTTGGTTTAAGTCTGTTAGACTGAATGCTAGGAATGAATTCTCCCTGTCGTTATTTACTGAAAAGTCCTGCACTTAGGTACTTATTCTTACTTTCTTATTGAGTTGGTAGCCAGACTATGCATGCACATCTGCTAGTGATAGTTGAATTGTAAAACTGGGTTATGTTTACAGGATACACGTGGGGTCAGTTGGCAGCACAGGGGAGATTATGAGATAACACTGGACTTGGGTAGTTTGTCTTGGAGCTAAACCATTATAAATGGTTGGGAAATATTTTCGACAGTGGAGCTACTGCATCCTTGGTCATAAATGACAACATAACAACTACGTGAGGCTTTGCCCATGTTTATAGTTTTAGAAAATTTTCTAATATCGTGATTCTCCCATTGAGGATGGATGAGTACAGCAAATCCCTAAGGTAGTAGAAATCTTCCATACATTAATGGCCATATGAAAACTAAAGCTGTAGTAAGCATTTATCATAAAGCTAATTTTCACTAATTTAGAGAAGATAGTAATGTGATAAAAATAAGGTTGGAAAAGACCTTTGGTGAAAAAAAATGCAACTAAAGTTAATATATGAATCTCTAGGGAAGCAATTAGAGAAAGTAAGATAAAGTTGATGCCATTAGGCATCTGTTGGTTTTGTTTCATTGTGTTTGAACAGAACTTTAAGGTCCTGATGGGTTTACAGGTGTGTTTTGTTTCTGGACTCCTGGAATGTGGTTCTGATTGTGACTTTAACCTGAAACATGCACCCAACTTTCCACTCCCTTAAAATTGACAGGTGTTGGGGTTGACAGAAGAACCTGAAAGGTGCTGACCGCGGCGGCTCCAGTTGAAATTGGAGTCCTTATTCTTTTTCGTCTTTTAGGAGAACTCAACTTCTAGGTTCAATGTCTAGTTCCATAAGTTCAAAGTTTGGATTAGAAATCACCTGTTGACCAAAGTCTAGAAGAACCTACTGAACTCAATTTTAATAACATGGTTAAGAGATTCTTTCTCAGGAGAAGCATTGTGTACTTGAATGATAAAGGGTCAACCGTACATCACGTTTTATCGGCTGAGTCTGTGCACCTGCTGAAGGATGATGTATTTCCTCATGAGAGATATTGACAAGTTTTGAACCAAGTCATTTTTTGTCTCCAGGCACAATTTGGCTAAAGTCCTTTTCATG